TGTGGACAGATGATTATGAATAATAATTATAAATGACTTCAAAAATAACTAACACTCGGGATGGTTGGGGCCAACTTGGGGGACAGCTATTCACATACATTCAAATGGTACAGTCTCTTCTCTCTATATCTCTCTCACTCTTGAAATGAGTACTGAATTCGATTAAAATACATTAGACTATGGGGTCATATTTCAAAATAAATATATTTATAGATATTCTTTCAGAATAATCTCCGCGTGTTTACACCTTTTTAGGTATTTAGACTTCACCTTTAACAACTCCTTTCGTGTTTTTAGATATCGGAAATACTTTAAAGTTATTTCCCTTTCCCACGTTAGTTTGTGCACATGGCATGGCTAGGATATATTGAACTCTGAGCTCAAATTTAACAATTACAACCCATATATACTTAACTTAACTGCACACACGCTAAAGGAGATTTGCGGGGAAGAATATACCGGATATACAAATTTAGATGGAAGAACATCCAACGGTGGAAATTGTCTCTTTTCAGTCACTGAGTCAGTCAACACACAACACCTGAATTTGGTAAGATTGATTTATTGTTTTCATTTTTAAAAATAGCTACTATTTTATTACATTAATATTGATAAAATACATATGAAAGAATGCTGCAAAACACACAAACATCATACCGAGAATCAAATGTTTATAGAGTTAATAATAGTTTATGCACTACGGATTCACAGTCAATTGTTCATGGGAACGCACGTGTTGACATAACTACAAGGACTTCTTCTTGGTCAGCTTGGCCAGGGGAATGTCACTGTCCGAGTCGCTGTCAGGCTCAAAACCTCTGTTGTCTACTCCACTGAAATTAAGGGAAAAACAAAATTAAAATAGGGCATCATTTTCACAAATTCAATCAGTAGCTATGTGTTTTCTTTTTAAAATAAATTTAGTTTTAGTTTGATATTTCCTGTGTAAATTTTAAAATTTGTATTCAAGTTTGAGTGTCTGTTTTTTGATGTTTTTTTTTTTTAAGAGGATCCAGTAGTTTTAAGCCATCTTCGCTAGCCAAGGGTTTCTGATACGCTACTCTCCTCATAAACCCTTGACCTACGGAGAAGTCAAAAGACGGGATTGTTTTCAGTCACGTGATCTCGAATCATATACGCACAGATTATTTAAAGACACATGTTAAAAAAAAATTAAATCAAAGTTTTTAAAAGAATAATTTGAGTTATTTTTATTCATTATTTATATCTGAAGCTTTTAGATTCATCAATATTTAGGAGTATTGGATGACACCATGGCTATTCATAGAATTGAATGTTATCTTACGGATCATTGTTTACTTGCGTTTTTCATTTTTTGATGTGCAAATTTTCATTTATATTTTTAAGCATGTTAAGTACATGTACATATTTATTTTTTAAGTGCACATATAATGACAATTCAGATTTTCTTACAAGCAAGCAAAAGCCATTTATATTTTTGATTTCATAAAATTGATTCTTTTATGTTCATAATTTAAAAACACTTATAATCTAATGATTGAAAGTTCATATCTCAAGACAAATGTTGTTCATGTCAGTTGCAGCTAAGTAAACTGGTAAAGAAAATAGTGGAAGAATTTTTACATACATTTCCTCTGTATCTTGGAGAAGCAGCACATTTTCCTTGTTGGAATGTTGTCGCTTCCGTTTCATGAGTTTCCAAGCAGATTCATGATTCTTTTGGGCTTCTTCTCTATAAATAAAATAACAGTTTTAGGAAAAAACAGAAACACCAAAAAAATGAATGCATTTAACATATATTTACATGTAAGGGCTACAGAGAGAAAGAGTATATATGAACACACTGAGTAATTAATATAATTAAGGACCCTCTCTACACTGCACCCTAATTTCAGGGTACTTGCGTGTAGTTAGACTGACCCACAATTTGACATAAAAAGAATAAATTGTAATCCGCACTTTTTTGACAAAATTTTAAATAAGTCTATCTATTCTAAATATTATGTTAGACCAAGATAAAGTAATTGAAAACTTTATTTGCATATATTTTCTCCATTTGATTAACAGAGAGAAACACCATATTAGAAATGGATTAGTTTATTTCAAAATATATATGAACACACTGAGTAATTAATATAATTAATTAATATTACATTGACATTTGTTTAATTCTGAAAACAAACTTATAAATGTAGTATTTAATCAGTGGTATATTGCGTAGTTCTATTTAGAGAATGACCGGTAAAATGTTACTTGTTTAAAAGCCTTTATTTTAATTTAAAGATAAAAGCTACCTCTTTTTCGCATAATATCTCTGCCACTGCATCGCCTTTTGAATTCTTCTCTTTAATTTCTGGCAATCAACGGTGTAGTTGGGGAATTTCTGGGATATGATGACCTTGACTTCATCCAGGACAGAAGAGAAGGAGGTGGTGTATTTTCCACTGGTTGGCAGAAGTCTCTCCAAAGTTGCATTGATGAGTCTCTACAAATATCATGAATATTACAAACATTGACCCATTTAATTAAAAGTGCTAAACAGGTCATATTTTAAAAAATATATATATTTCTTTATTTCTTATAATGAGAATGATAATTTATGGCAGGGACAAAGCAACTAAACTCAGGAAACCTAGATAAAAACTGTCTGCATATAGAAAAAGAATGCCAGTTATTCATTTTTGAAAGTTAACTTTTAAATTTGAGAACTTAATTTTAAGAGGCAGTGGATAGACAGACAGTGTTGAAAAATACGTTGACTTTATATAATTACATTTCTAACAATATTTCTATTTATTTATTTTCTCTGTGATAACTCTTTGAAAGTTATTTGTCAATGAGTTGAGTTCTTGATTATTCTACTGGAATACATATATTTCACAATGCAAACAAAGATAATGAGCCCTAATATGCAGGTAAATCTTAATTGTGCAGCTGCATGTCTTTGTGCCTGATGTCACTCGACTGAGCGAGGACTTTAATTGACATGCAGGCCTCATATAATTTAGATCTTTTAATAGTCTACATTTTTAAAATCTAAATTTACAATTCTATTTCTCCATGAAATGGAAATATAAGGAACCACTGTCTAGTTAGTAGAGTATGCCAGAGACAATAATGAAAATTGGAAACATGGGATAATTTATAAGCATAATCATGATTATATGTTTGATTTCCATTAACAGAACTCTTCAGAATTAAAGGAGCGCTTAATTATCATCTAAGTGCACATGCCTCGAAAATGTAATCTTATTCTTCTCAGTATACAGTGATTCCTTAAGACCTAAACTATACTTGAACATGTTTACACCATTTCTGTCATTTTGTTTATCACTATGAAGTATAACTGGTTTATAATTACCTGTACCACACCATGCTCAAATGTCCCCTTCTTCCACATGTTGTCTGCATCTAATGTCTCCTGTGGAAACTCAAAGTTGTTGGTTTGGGTAGATGCATTGGATTTAGGTTGGTTACAGGAACACACGGTTCCCATACTTAAACGAGCACAACACACACACTGAAATGTACATTTTTGCACAGGTTGGTTGCCTTGATGCACAGAGACACCTTGTATACTAGGTCCAAGATACTGATAAGTATAGTCAGAGTCACTAAAAGTAAGGGTGTTGAAACTTGAAGAACTCATCTTGGCGTCACACGTGAAGGCTCCTTTTTACAATTTGGTTTGGATTAAAAGTGAAATATAGGACTTCACAATTAACTACTTGCAGTACTTCACTGTGTTTTCATAGAACAAATTATCATCTCAATGTCAGAGGTTGTTGTGATAACCAGGTTCCCCTTTTGTTTTTTTAGCAATCAACAGATCATTCTGATAATCTTTGATACAGGATAATTAAAATAATAAAATGCTTATCATCATGATCATTGTAATCATAATTAATATGTTGTTTAGTAATTTTGAACAAGCTTGCTTTCATTTCTTTTCCAACACATTTTTAAGTACAAATCAAAGAAACCAACATTTAAATTAAGAGATTTTTTTCATTAATTAAAAATTGAATCTTATTTAATGAATTGACCCTGGTATTTTGTTGTTCAGTATTACATATAATTATTAAAAACCACGTATAAACTAAGCATATATATTTTAAATAATTTTAATTTTGAATACCAGTAATTATTGGTAGTGTAGAATTTTTCAACATACATCTGTACATGTATAATCTAAGAAAACATTCAAGATACCTTCACATTTTAATGCTGTTTTTAATATATATATGATACAAATGATTAAATTATCAAATAATAAAGAAAAATCACATAATAAAGAAAAAAAAATTGGAGCAGCATTTATTGAATTAATTCCTGTTTCAAAAATGTCAAATGAGAAAAAATATTCAGGAGACTTTCTTTTTTTTTTTTTTTAAATTAATTCACATGATGAAGCTCCCATGTTTTAGCTGTCATTTTACTATGTTTTTTAATCATCAATGTAAAATAACAAATCTAGACACTGACTGTGAGTTTCACAACAGAGGGTGGCTGAAACAGTCCCTTTGATCAGCTGCCCTTTGATGTGTATACACAGAGCTACTGTGTTAGTTGGAAGTTTCACACAGAGCAACTGTGTTAGTTGGAAGTTTCACATCACAAGCTTTTTGTGTAAGTCCAATTCACAGAGTGATTAACAGTCATCTCTCATAACTACTGAATCAGTGATAGAGAGAAGATGGGTTAACTTTTGTTTTGAGCAGACATGATCTGTTTCTATATCTGTATTTTATACTTCATTTGTTTTATCCCCAGTGAAGTAATGCAGAAATCAGATGGTAATTTTGGATTTTTTTTTCTCAAAATTTAATTATATGTAAATAAAACATGCAGATCAATCCTCAAACATTGAAATTAATTAAAACTTGCAATTTCTTTTTCAATTTTATTTCTTTCAATTAGTGAAATGTGTTAATTTTAATGTTTGTTTTTGATTTTTTTGTAAGTTGTGCATATCAATTGAACAGCAGAAATAATTGATTTTTTTTTTTACAGAACAGCAGAAATTTTGCCTGTGTCAGAAGTGTGAGGGAAAATGGATTCCCAGATCAACTTTCTACCACCATGAAAGACAGTATGTGAAAAGTATTAGTGCCCCGATAGTACCAAAATTCCCATATGATGAGGCTATTTTCACAGATTGCAGATTCCAGCAGCCATTATTTGAAGGATCAACAACTAGCGTTTTAGATGCAGTGACAAAACACATGTACATATTTAGTATGAACCATGGCATGTCAAAATCAGCAGTGTCGGATTCCTTGGCCTGTGAAAAGTCATCACTTCCACAACCTAATTGCCTGCCACAGTCATTCCGAGAAGCCAAAGATTTCATATCGCCACTCCTGATGCCTCTTGAGAAGTATGATGCCTGCGTCAATGACTGCATACTTTACAGAGACTTAAAAGACAAAGAATATTCCAGTTTGCAGAATTGCCCTATCTGTGGTGAACCAAGGAAAAAGAGAGGAGTTGTGCAGAAAAAATACACTTACATGCCTTTAGGACCAAGACTGAGTCGCTGGTTTGGGACTTCTAACTTGTGTAAATTGCTTTATTCAAATAGAGGAGTCTCTGCAAATGGAAATCTAAGAGACTTTACCGATGGCAAAGTGTACAAGTCCTGGTTCGAAACTGGAGGGGTCTTCCAAGGACAGCAGGAATGCCATACAGTTCCATTGTCCCTATTCACAGATGGAGTGAATCCTAATAAACACATGACCAGTCAGAAATCCATGTGGCCTCTCATTCTGACGTGGATCAACCTACCATTTGAAATTCGCCAACTTTTAGGACCTATGCTGTTGGTAGGAGTAATTCCCAGTGGAATTAACGGCAGTGAGCCAAAGTCCCTGGAGCCATATCTAGAACTTCTAATTGATGAACTTCTATCACTTTCGGAATTCACACTGTACAATGCGTATGAAATGGCACCGATGAATGTGAAAGTGGCATTACTTCAGTACCTGTGTGATATTCCAGCATATTCCAAAGTGTTTCATCTGCCTGGACATGGTGCACTGAGATCTTGTCCGTACTGCCGAGATGTAGGAGAGTATTGTAAACATCTGCACAAGACTATCCATCTCTCAAACCGTAGGTTTCTAGATTCGAATCATCGAATGAGGTCTGAGGATGGCTTTGGTAAACGTGGTTGTGAAAGGGAGCAGAAACCAACATCTTATACATGTGAAGAGGAAGCTGAGCTGCGCAAAGAATTTGAGCTGAAAAGAAATAAATCCCAGAAAGCTAAACACCAGAAAGAAACCGGTCTAAAAGGAGAATACTCCCTTCAGAAACTTCCGTACCACAATAGGATGCAGCAGATGCAAGCAGACGGGATGCACACCTTTGCAGACTTTGTGAATCATGTTTTAGAAATGTTGACTGGAAAACTGAGTTCAGAGAAAGTCTTACATTGTGAACATTCATATGCACGATTTACAGACATCGTAGCGGACGACGAGCAGCTGGAAAGTAGGCCAAAGAAAAAGAAGACCGACAAGACTCAAACTTCACGCCAAGACAGTTCACGAACAATTCCATGGGAACTTACAAAGAAGCAGATTAAGGAAGCTGACAAGAGGGCCTGTGAAATAGTATACAGCCAAGCTAATGGGATTACACCTGGGCCACATTTCTCCAAGCCCTGGACATTGAGAACTATGAGTTCCAAGTTACAGGTAATAATTTACAGCTTGTAATTGTGAAGTTACTTATTATCTAAGCCGATGTTTTTTAAATATTATAAAATATATGCATGGTCGTTAAAGTATCAAGGACGTCATTTTCAGTTTTTATCCTTTTTTTATGTAAATAATGTAATGAACATTCAATATTAGTTTATATATATTAATCATTGTTTTATGGAATTTTTTTTTATAGAAATTCAAAATGCAGATTAATATTCTGTATGTTCATTTACAGATCCTTTGATTAAAACAATGGTGTCTTTTTTCAGTTTGTGACTACTGGTGGGCTTCAGTGGTGTATCAGGGGATTTTTACCTCCAAAGCAAGAAGAAACTCTTTTCTTTGTATTTGATACCCTGAAGAGAGTTATCTCCTCATCCATTTATCAAGCAGCCATTGAACAGTTGCAGATTGATGTTCATCATGCTCTGTGTCTAGTGGAGAGGGATTTCCCACTGTCACTCCAGGTAACATTTGCAAATTGAATTTTAAACTTGGATATTATTTTTTGTTCACTGTAATCCATCAAATAATTTTTTTTGGTGGAAATCTTATAGACAGTCTTAAATAGTGCAGGTACTTAAAAAAAAATTATGGAGAGTCAACTTATATGGAAATTATTTATGTATCAGCTTGATGAAAATTTTCTTATTATTTCAGAATTTGACTACACATCTTATACATCACATCGTGGATGGTCTAGAAGAATTTGGCCCAGTTTATGGTCGTTGGCTGTTTCCCTACGAAAGGGCTAATGGATGGATTAGCCGTCAATGCTTGAGAAAAGGTGTCGAGGAGTCAACTGTGATGGAAACATATGTAGTAAGTTTAATTAAGTATAATTACTATTTTTCCAAAGAAAATTACTGTTAAATGTAATCAGGGTAATAGTGTTTCTTTGTTGATCAATTCACAGGATGTTTGCATATACATAGTAAGTTCAGTGATGGCAGAATTTTCTCATTTTTTTTTTAGCTCTTTTTCAGAAATATTTTTATACCCCCGCAAACGAAGTTTAGGGGGGTATATTGGAATCACCATGTCCGTCTGTCTGTCCGTCCGTCCGTCTGTCCGTCTGTCTGTAGACAAGATTTTGTCCGGACCGTTTCTCAGAAACTGTTGGATGGATTTGTCTGAAAATTTATACACTTATTATTCACCATATGAAGGTGTGCACCTGGGATTTTCATCATGATTGGATGATTTTTCTGCATTTTACAGGCGTTTTTTCTTTTTTATTTTATGATTTTGTTTGGCTCATAACTAGAAAACTATTAGACTTACAATCATCAAACTTGGACAATTTATGCATCTTGGGTAGACGATGTGTCACGACCTATTTCAAGGTCACTGTGACCTTTAATTTAAGTGATTTTTTTAAAAAAACTAAGTCTTTAAAATTTTAAATTTCATAATCCTAAAAAATGTAAAAATATAGTTGTATCCTTATTAAAAAATGCTAATTAAAATTAAGTAAACACTTATTTTTTTATCATATACTTTACAGCAAATTCTATAACAAATGTTAATGATTTGAGAGGAATTCAGTTTGTCCCATGGGCATAATTATCAAGCACTGGTCAAGGAGAATTTTTGATAGCAGAAATGTGCATGTCAAATTAGAGAGAAATTAATGAGTTCATTGTCGGGAGTTAACTGGCAAGAGCATCATGCAGTATTATCTTAATTTATGTCTTGGGAGTTGGGCAAAAAGAAATGGCCTTATAGTTGCTTGTGTTAATTAAGAGTTCTTGATGGCTGTAGTTCAGATAAAGAGCTTTCAATTGGTGTAATGTGATTAAAACAAATTGATGTTTTAGTGTATGATTAAAACTGAATTAGTATTGTATAATATAATTAAAATTAATTATACATGTGTTCATTGAAAAAAAAATTACATTTCAGCTTTTATATATTTGCAACAAATTGCAGTCATGTCTCACTTAGAATTTTATAGTCTAAAGAATAATTATTTTTTGATTTTTTTTTTTATTAGACTGTAGCATTTCCATTATTTCATAAAATATGCAATAAACAAATTAAAGCTGCAGATGGATATTTGTTAAGCTCTAACACAGTCAGTTTAAAATTATATGATGTATTATTTGTTTTAATTAATCCCTACACTGTAAGTCTCTTAGAGATGTATATGTACAATATTTTAAACATGATAAGAAATGGAAATTAGATCATTGGAATCTGTGTCAATCTGTTAATCAAGGTTACTTGATTTTCTTGCACCCTAACCAATTTATGATTATTGAACAATATTTGATGGGCGTATCATGCTGTGGCAGGGCACTTTATTAGACAATAGTGAACACCTCTTACTAGATCCATAAAATATTTCTAAATTGGCACCTACTCTGAAAAATCCAGCGGGGGTATTTGTCCCTATTGGACAGTTCTAGTTAAATTTTTAGTAATGAAATACAGATTCCTTAATGTCATGATAGAATAATAAAGAGTCAAATGGACTGTGTATTATTATGAAAATATTGTGAGAAAATG